TTAAAAACTACTGAATTGTACGCTTTAAAAAAGGGTGAATTTTACGGTGTGTCAATCGTATCTTAATTTTTTTTAAGCATGCAAAGTACTATTTAAAATAGCAAAAAGTGGAAACTGAGATGCCTAATAATAGAATAATTCATATTCTGTGATATAAACAGAATTGAACAGAAACACAGAGCTATTGAAAGGTATATATTACACAAATTGTCAATACATGGAAATTTAAATACATATGTAAGTGAGAGAGAGGATAATATTATGTGAAAAATGGACATAAGAGGGCTTCCCTGGTGGCGCAGTGGTTGAGAGTCCGCCTGCCGATGCAGGGGACACGGGTTCGTGCCCCAGTCCGGGAAGATCCCACATGCCACGGAGTGGCTGGGTCCGTGAGCCATGGCCGCTGAGCCTGCGCGTCCGGAGCCTGTGCTCCGCAACGGGAGAGGCCACAACGGTGAGAGGCCCGCGTACCACAAAAAAAAAAAAAAAAAATGGGCATAAGAGAGAATTGCAGATCCATTACAGGTCTTTATATAACCCAACGCAAGTCACCTACAAGCCACGTGGAGCCCAGAGAGACGGAGAACACTGCTGCTTCCCCTCCCTGCCAACCTGGAAGGAGAACAGCATCTCCTTTTGTAGAGTATTTCCATGCACATTATCTGCTTTAATCCTTAAAACAATCCCAAGAGAGAGGTAACAGGGGTTACCATCATTACGTAGAGATTGTGCTGAAGATGCAGCCTTCAGATCTGGGACCAGAAACCCCCTCCTCGTTGCCTCCACACTGTGGGAGATCCGGATTTTCCCAGCAAAACAAAAAAAAACCTAAAAGCCAGCTGCCATCTCTACCAGTAGCTTCTGGGACGGCTAAAAATAAAAAGGTGGAGGGCCAAGGAGAGCGAGGGTCCACGGGCTGGAGGCCCGGCAGCTGCCCTGGGCTCACCTTGCAGACAGCCCTACAGACGGCTGGTAGGGGAGCTGAGCGACCTCTCAGCCCCTCCTCTCACACCAGGCTGGGAGGCAAGACAGCTGGTGCGTACCTGGGAGGATGCTGGCTGCCTTGGTCCCTCAGTGAGGGGTATGGAATGATCATTCCAACCCTCAGAGGTCAACGGGCATCATGCCAATGTCAGAACAGGGACCCTCCCAAAGCAGTGACAGCTACACTGTCCTCAAGAAGTCTCCCTCCTTTCCCCTGCAAAAAAAAAAAGAGCCTTCCAGCCAGAGGGGAATCTAGGGCAGCAGAGAGACAGCCCGAGCACACCCTGGCAGGAAGGCCAACTGCCGACGGCCTGGACAGAGGGGCTGCAGGCGCAGTGGTTAGGAGCTTGGGTTCTGAGGGGCCACCGACCTGGGACCACATCCCAGCACCCCCGGAAGAAAGGGCAGCCTGGTCTGCACAGCTGCACCTCAGTCCATGAGCGACCAGCCCCCCTTTCAGCAGAGCCCTTCCCAGTGGCCGCGATGAGGGCCGGCAGGGGTCACCTCCACACACAGGCTAGTGGCCCAGACAAGGTCACGCTTTGGACGGCCCGGAGTGCTGCTTCAGGAGACCCCGGCAGGTACCCAGGGTTTCTGTGACGCTCAGGGGCTCACTGGACGGGGACTCCCCAGAGGCGTACCCCAGATGAGGCTGAGCGCTGGGGCTGCAGAAGGACCACTTCTCCTCCCGCCTCCCCTTTGCTCTCTCCCCCTCCTGCCTATGCAGCAGCCTTGACTGCAGCAAACTCCTCTGGGCCAGGGGCTACGGCAGAAAAGGAGGAAAACCCTCTCCCACGGCCGCGGAGCGGGGGAGCCGGGGGCCTGGTGGTGGGGCTGGGGGCCGGGGAGACATCCAAACCACCGTGCAGCTCAGCAGCCCCCGTGCCAGCGCCCGCAGCCCCTCCCTTTCCAGCACGCAGGCCACAGTCTAGGCTGCCACCAGGAGCTGGGCCATCCCGGGCCTCCTGGCACAGGAGTCAGCAAGGGGGACGGGGGAGGGGGAGTGCCGCCACACTCTGTCCTTCTGCTTAACGGCCAGACCACGCGGCTCGGAATCCTGCCTGGACGCTTGCTGGCCACGCTCAGTCCTGCTGCGGCAGCTCGCCTGCTGAGCTCATCAAACGACATCAAGACTCTGTGACCTCTGGCGGGGAGGGCAGTCTCTCCTCCTGCAGCCTCCCGCCCCCAACCCCACGAGGAGGCACAGCCGAGGCCCTGATGTGCTGGGACGGGGCCTACTGGCCATGGTGGGGCGGCTGCAGGAGCCCCAGCTCCTGCAGGACCTCCCTGGGGGATGGGCTCCAAAACAGGACGCAGAGGGGAGAGCAAGGATCCGTGCTGGGGCCACAGGGCTGTACCAGGCTGCCTCCTCGGGATGCAGAGAAGCCTGGCATTCCGGGTCCCCGAGCCCCAGGGGAAAGAGAGACAGGCAGACAGAAGGTGGGGGGCAGGGAGGGAAAGAGACAGACACAGACACAGAGGAGAAGAGACCCTCTGTTCTCACTGTTACCGAGGACCCAGGTCCACAGCCCCACCCTGCGGGGATGAGCACAGAGGCAGGAAGTCATCCCACCATACACTACCAATGCCTGTGTATCCAACCAGCAGATAAGTGGACCAACCAGGGAGACCCAGCACCCAGGACAGCTGCAGTCCTGCTGGCCACCTCTGACAAGGACAGTGGGCTGAACTATCCCCCTCTGGCTGCAAGCCCCTGAGGGCTGGTGGGTCCCCGCTGCCTGCCCTGCTCTGTCTCTCTCTGCCTCTGGGCCAAGTGGAGCAGCACGTGCTCTGGGGTTAGCAGCCGTGAGATCCACTGTCGGAGCCCACACCCCGAAGGCGACAGGGCCTGAGCTTTGGTCACACACAGCAGCCCTGAAGGCAGAGGCGCGGCGTCACCCTCCTTCCTGGACCTCAGCTGTTACATTGCCGTTCAAACCCGAGACTCTCCCTGCCGTAGGCCTGCCGTGGCAAACAGACCTGCCCAGGCCTCTCCCTGCCTTTCTGTTTTGCCTTCTGTTTTCCTTTCTCCAACATCCAAAGGTACCTTCGCAAGGATAAGCAGGCCTGCAGTTTGCCTAGCCCCTGGCTCCGCAGGGATCCTGCAAATGACATCAGATAGTAAGAAGGATGGGGTGGCAGGGTTGGAAGAAATAAGAGGCAACAACGCCAACTGGTAACTCCAGACATCACGGCTCTTCCCCAGCTCAGGGTGGGCCCGGGAAGGAGTTGCCAGAAATGGGCTAGGAGAGAAGACCCCGTGTCAAGCGCAGGCAGAGAGGTGCTGGCCCCTGCCCCTGGCCCACAGCTGGGGTGACAGAGGCCTCCTCCCGTCCCGCCCCACACTCTCAGTGCCGGATCTATAGCTCATCTCTCTGCAGATGAAGCCAGGGCACAGCGCAGCCCTCAGTCCTGCCAGGACACCCAACACACACAGGCACAAGGAGGAAACCCACGGCCTGAGCCCTTGCTGAGGACAGGAGGGGACACGTGGGAGGCTTGGGAAGGATCCCCGAGACCCACGAAGGCTCACGGCAGTGGGGAGAGCACCTCTTTTCTCATATGGGTTCCAGATGGAGAAGCCCAGCTCCCCTAAAGGACAGCAAAGCCCTTCGAGGGCTGCCTCCTGCCTGACACCCCAGCCCAGCGCCCCGGCCCCAAAGCACCACCTGCATCATCACTGTGGAGCCTGTCCTGATATATTCCCTCCCCCAGTGAACCCCTGAGGTAGCAGGGGACTGCGGCTGGGTTTCACACCTCTCATCACTGCAGCCCCCGGAGAGCTTCTATAGCACTAAACACACGTTCAAAGACAAAGGGGAGAAAGCTGAAGAGAGTCACCAAGGGAAAGAGAAAGAGACAGACCTCCTGGTCCCCCAACCAGGCCCGAGGGGCCCTCCCCTCCGCCCAGGCACACACTGTGGGGTGGGGACGGTGGCCTCCGGCACTGCCGCCCAGGCTGCGGAACACAGTGGTGGGGACAAGCTGACTGCAGTGGTGCAGAGCCTGGTGCCGGGGCCAGACTGCCTGGACCAGGACCCGGCTCCACCACTTCCGGCCGTGACCTTGGGCTCGTCACCAAACCTCGTCTGTAGGTGGAAGCTAATAACAGTGCCCATCTCATATGGCTACTGGGGGCATCAGCAAACAGTAAGAATTAGCTTTAATGATTTGGGGTTAGAACCGATGCTTTGAACACACACAGTCAATGCTCACAAGACGTGATGGAATCACAGAACGCTGGAGCTCAAAGGGGCCTCAGCTGCTGTTGTTGACACAACCCGCTGGCCTCACAGATGAGGGACAGGAATGGGCGTGCTGAGGTCACTCGGATGCAGAGACAGGCCTGACACTCAGGTGTCCCTACTCCCAGGTCAACACCGCTCATTCCTGCGGTGTTTGGTCAGCACTTCCCAGGTGTGTGCCAGGTACCAGCGAGGAGCTGGGAAAGACAGATGGGGCGGGGATGAGACGAGGCTAAGAGCGCAGAGGGGCAGGGAAGGGAGGCACGTGCGCTCTGAGTGTGCGGCAGAAGCGGACCTTGTCGGGACGGTCAGCAGAGGGCTCCCCAACCAAGTGACCAGTGAGCTGAGAGCGAATGCACAGGAGGGACAGGAGGCGAGCAGGGGGGAGGAGAAGGCAGAGGGGGCCGCTGGTACAAGCACTGCGTACGAGCCCGGGAGCCCTCGTGCGAGCTGCCGGTCTCCACCACACTCACAGGAAAGCCAGCTTACCTCCCAGGGTTCACTGCCGGCCAGTGTTTCAGCACCTGGGCCAAGGCTGCTTAACGGGACTGCACGCTCCCTAAGGGCAGCGATGACCACGTGGGCTTTGCCTGCAGGCACCCCGGGGTATAGCATGACCCAGAGCTGGGCACACGGCCGGCCCTGGAGGGAGACCACACACCGGCAAAAGCTCCCCTCTGAGCACTGGCCAAGGCGCGGGGGCCTGGCAGACCCTCCAGTCCTGCGGGCCGACGCCTCACAGCAGACGCGGGGCGGCGACCACTCACGCACCTTCTGCGTCCACGGTCTCCTTCATGATGATCTCCACCCGCTCCACGTGGTGCCGGTTCCAGAGGCCGTCCAGGGCCTTGCGGTTCTGGTCTCTGAAAGGCAGGATCTGGGCCACCACCTGCCAGGGAAGGAGACTGTGGTGCTGTGGCTCCTCTCAGGACGAAGAGGGAATCCTGACCCAAGGAAGGGCCCCCAGCCTCTCTGCCCCCTGCTCAGAAGAGACGCTCTCGGGAGCAGCGGTCCCTGGACGCCAGGGCTTCACAGCCCAGTAAGGACTCCAGAAGCCTCTCCGTCACTATACAGGGTTACCAGCTTTTTAGTTTGCAAAGAAAGAAAATATTTAAGGATTCTCTATCTTCTATTATCATCAATTTTTAATAAAAGAGATATTTTAACACTAAAAATGGAGCAAGAAAAGCTTCAAATTGAATACCAGCCAGTTTTTGGTTTTGTTTTTCTAATTTTTCCCATAAACAAGTGAAAAAACCTACCAGGATGGGCAAGTGGCCTGAGGACCTGTCTTTGGAATACTGCAACTCCAAATAAGGCTGGACGGAAGGCGATGCCTCTGCCCCAGATGATTACGTGATGCACCCCCCCCCCCCGCCCCCGTGGCCCTGGGCCCACGTCCTGGTCGGCACCAGAGAACACAGGTGCTCGTGTATTCTCTGCTGTGGTTTCCGGGAAGAGGCGTCCCGAAGGGGCCCTGAAGGTATGTTCAGAGAGAACTGGCCAGCTGACTAGCATCACCCAGGAGGCCAGCCCCTCGCTCCACCACAGGGCCTGGATGAGAAGCATGGACTTAGGGTCCCTATTACATTTTAAGATCTCATTACCAGCCTTCTGGTTCAAAACAGAACTCAGGAAGAAAAAGGTACTGAGAAAGAGCCGATGGGTGCGGAGTAAGGTGGTTACTTCTAATTCCCGCAGCACGCCCAGCTGGAAGCCAGGTCCACACCCCAGAGTCTCAGCGCCCCCTCTGCAGAGAACGCAGGGCAACGTGGAGACGTCAGAGCCCGAACCCTGGCTGGGAAACAAAGAGGACAGGATACACTAAAGAACAGGTGGCTGGACAAGTGGACATGGGCCAAGCAGTCCTGCCCTTGCCACTCACCGCCTTTCCTCCGGCCTCTTACCCCCTGCCCACAGTCAAGATGACCATGGGAGCCCAGATTTCACGATGCCTTCAGGACCAATTCCGCCATCGGTGTGGCCCTGTGGACGGGGTGTACCTGCACCAGCTCCCTCCACCCCAGCAGGCTCCTAGCTGCAGGCTCACCTGCTTGCCCAGGTAATGGTCCACCCGGTACATCTCCTCCTCTTGGAAAAAGCTCCCAAGTTCTGTGGCCAGCTGCTGGGCTGAGCGGTGGTCATGGCCGAAGGGTTTCTCAAGGACAACGCGCAGCCAGGCACCTGGGCCTGGGCGGCAGCTGCTGCTGATGCTGCGGGCAATCTCTGCATAGGCGAAGGGGGGCACCGAGAAGTAGAAAATCCTGCCGGCCTCCCGGAGGCCTTCGTGCTGGACCCGGGCCTCAATGTCCTTGCTCAGGGCCAGATAGTCCTCAGGTGTCTTCAGGCGGCGGTACTCGCTCAGCTGCTGGAACCGAGCCTTGAGTTCAGCACAGCGACCGGGAGCTGTGTCCCTGGGGCAGGAGAGGGACTCCAGGACCTTGGCTATGACCTCCTGGCCCTGCTTGGTGCTCGTCAGAGCAGTCCCGTGGAAGCGAAAACTGTGGCCCTTCCCCGCCTCCTCCAGGTACAGCTGGAACAGCCCCTGCCATAGGTATTTTCTGGCCAGGTCCCCGGTGGCTCCCAGCAGGATTATGGAGACGTGTCCCTGGAGCTCCTGGGCCTGCAGGCAGCCCAGCAGGGCCATGCACACAGCCGCCGTGAGCATATTCCAAGCGCCTGTGTGCCTGGGGCACATGGGGAAGACAGACAAGGAACAAGGAAGGATCAGACACGGCTCAGGCGGCTGCGATGCAGGAGGGAAACACACTTCTAGGTTATCAAACGCTTCCTGCCTGGCAAGAAACAGCCACCTTGTTCTCAGGAAAATGTTACAGTCCCGCAGCTTCCCTCTCCCTCCTAAGCAGCTTGGCTTCTCTGCCTCAGTGGGTCAGGAGCCTGCCCCGTACGCAAGGACGACGCCACTTGCTAGAGGTGGGCCATTCTGCTGCAGGAGGAGGGCAAGGTGGCACCAGCCCCCAGAGAGGTCCCAGTGCAGCCGTGCACTTGGAGCTGCCCACTCTATGACCGAGGCCAGTCTCGTCCGCAAAGCACGGGTGGCCGGGACCATCGGAGCAGCAGGCCTTGGTCTTGCATGATGGCTGGAACTTTGGGAGGAGACATCACTGCCCCCTCACTTCTTCCTCTGCTCTTCCCTTGTCAACTGGGCTCCAAACACAAAATGATCCCTAATCACTGCTACAGCACAGTGATCAGAAACACGGACTCTGGAACCAACTGGCTGCGTTTGAATCCCAGCTCAACCCTTACTCTGAACAATGATTTAACCTCTCTGGGACTTCCCTGGAGGTCCAGTGGGTAAGACTCCATGCTCCCAATGCAGGGGGCCTGGGTTTGATCCCCAGGGAACTAGATCAGGGAACTAGATCCCGCAGGCATGCCACAGCTGGAAGATCCCGTGTGCCGCAACTAAAACCCACTGCAGCCAAAATAAAATAAATAAACAAACATTTTCAAAAAAAGTTATTTAACCTCTCTGTACCTCAGTTTCCTCATCGGAAATGGGGGTATTAGTGGTACCTACACCATAGGGCTGTTAAAAGGATAAAATGAGTTAACATTGAAAACATGTTTAGGAAAATGCCTATCTCCTATAATGCACTACATAAGTGCAGCTATCATTATGGAATATTGCTAATAGCAGCAAACGCTGAATGCTAGCAGGTGCCCAACACGGAGCTAAGCGCTTCTGTGCATTGGCTCTCACTGAATCCGGACAAGAGCCCTGAAAGGAACCAGTGGACGGGGTACTATCAGAGCACCCCCCCTCATTTTGCAGATAGACAAGCTGAGGCTCAGGAAGGTGAAGGTCCCGTGGTGGGAAAGCGGGGAGCCGGGCAGGCACCAGGCTCCCTGGCTCCAGGGCTGACGGGTAGCAATTACACACCGCAGCCTCGCCAAGGTTAGCCTAACTTCTTGGCTAGGTTTCAGCCTCAAATTTGAAGCAGCTGACATGCAGGAAAGGCGAGAGGCCTTGGACCTGTCACAAATGCACCAGAGGGTTTAATTTCTCTGGCCTTCTGCTCTGACCAAGGCTGTAGGGCTTGATACGCTCGACTCCTACTCCATGGCTCTCCCATTCTCCAGTTTCCTGCCAAGGCCAATGCTTTGAAGGAAAGGCAGAGGAAGCGGGAGGAAAGCAACACGGGTTCTCAGACATAGGTGGGGGGACCGGGGCCCAGTCTGGGGTGTGGGAAGACTGATGAAGGAACAGTAATAATTATTATACGGCACTTATTATATAGCAAGTATTCTACCGATAAAGGATTAACAAAATCCTCAACAATGAGGCTACAGTCTAGTTATACAGATAGGGACACTGAGGTTTAAAGAAACAGCAGGGCTTCTGCAAAGGCCCTGCAGACCTTCCCACATCCCTTTACCATCCCCTATATCAAGGGGCCAGACCTGCCCCTGACTCTGACATCGACCCCCTCCTCTCACTTTGCCCTTTGCCCCTTCCCCATCTCTCTTGAGATCCATCTCCAAGATGGCCCTGGTTAGTGGCCAGACCAAGATGAGGTTCCAGCAACAGTGTCTGCACCAGTTCTATAGGACACCAGACATTCCCATCATTGGAACTTTAACTGAAGGACCAAGGGACCACATGAGCAGCCCTCAGCTTCCTCTTCCGCTGTCCCTTTATGTGCGCTCACGCCCAAATCCACAGACGGCCCGGAGAACCATTCCGCTTTCTCCTCCTGCTGTCCTGTCCTTGGCCTTGCAAGCATTTCTTTCTCACCTGGCAGCCGCCCCTGTCTGGAGGGAAGGGAAAGCTGCAAGGTCAGTGCAGGAAAGAGGCAGCGAGAAATCTGAAGCCCAGAGAACAGCCTGGAGAAGGAGGAGCGGCCAGCTGGCAGCCGCGTCTCAGAGCTCCTGCCCGGATACTGGTAGCCAGAGGTCTGGATGCGCCTGGATGGGCAGGCGAGGGAGCCCCGAGGGCCAGCACGTCTACCCCAGCCCAGAAAACTGCAGAAAGCCGTGACGCTTGGCCACTCGGCCTGAGCCGACCCCCGGGCCTCTATTTAACCCTGTTCTGACTCTGAAGTCGACTGCGGTCTTCCCTGCCCAGCCCTGTCCCGGTTCCAAGTTCCCAGGTTAGCCGCCCTTATCTCCTGCTTACGTCCCCGCTCCCACCTCCTTTAAACAAACACAGATCAGAAATATCAGTTACTGCAACATGGTTGCTTACTCTGTGGCTGCTAACCAACCAGGGAACCACCCTTTCCTAAACAAGTCAGGGGGTGTGGCTCTGTGTGTTTGGTTTTCTTATCACCATGTTTTTTAACCTTAACAGTGTTTCTCAAACTTCTATGTGCTTATGAATCTCTTGCGGAGCTTTTTAAAATGCAGATTCTGATGCAAAGGATCCGGGGATGGGGCCCAAGGTGCTGAAAGCTGGTCCACAGAGCCCACTGCGAGGAGAAGGGCTCTGGGACACTGAGCGGTGAAGCCCAGAGCCAGGGCTGTTGTCAGCGGAGCATCAGACGACCTGGAAGGTTTTCAACCTGCCTCCTACTCCCTTCACCAAGGCAATGAACCTCTGATCCAGCAGGCCCAGGGCAGGTGCAAGCACGGGTATTTCAAAGCAGCCTCCAACGGCTGAGACTTGCCCATCCCCCTGCAAAACCTGGTTGCTAACGACCTCGAGCCTAACACCTGACATTTACCAAGCAGTCAGCGTGTGCCAGACGACGTAAATGCACTATCTCAACCTTCCCTCAAAACACTGTTGGGGGGCATCCCTGGTGGCGCAGTGGTTGAGAGTCCGCCTGCCGATGCAGGGGACACGGGTTCGTGCCCTGGTCCGGGAAGAGCCCACACGCCGCGGAGCGGCTGGGCCCGTGAGCCATGGCCGCCGAGCCTGCGCGTCCGGAGCCTGTGCTCCGCAACGGGAGAGGCCACAGCAGTGAGAGGCCCGCGTACCGCAAAAAAAAATAATTAAAAAAAACACTGTTGGGAAGGAGTTCTGCAAGGATGCCCATTTTACGGATGAGGAAACGGTAGGTGAAGTCAGCTGTTGAGTCCCAGAGCCTGAGGCCCCAGTCACTATGTTAAACAGCTCCCTTAGTCGAGTGGAGGAAGGGGGCCTTTGGGTAAGAGGATGGGCTCAAGGCCACCTCTGAGCTGTGTAACCCAATTAAGTCACCCAGGCAGTCCTCACCTGACAAGTGGGCTAACACCCCCAAACCAATGGAGGCTTGCACAGATGAGCTGAGATGGTGAAAGCCTTGCCACTTCCTCCTCTCAGGGTCTACAGAGCCCAGCCCTGCAGGCAGCACAGGACACACCCCAGCATCTGCTGGTCCTTACACCCTGAGAGGAGGAAGACGGGTGCACAGGTGTCCTCCCTGCTGCCCCGACACAGAATACACAGGCTCAGAGAAGCCCAATTACGTCAAAGTCGAGGTCAGGGTGCCCACCCTGGAGCAGAGGGGAGGTAACAGGGAACCAGACGGCTCTACACCCACCTGTGGCCTAAACTGCTCTTGGGCTGCAAGGCTCTGCTTTTGAAGGATTTTCTGAAGCACTTCCTCCTGCCTCCTTGCCTGCTCTGAGAGGAACGGGCTGTGAAATACAACCCCTACTAAGATTACATACTTGAACTTAGAAAAGACACGGAAGTGGCATTCCAACGGCTGATCCTGCTATGCATCGCTTCTATTTTTAATTAATAAATAAGAAAACTATTAGTGCAGAGTTTGAGCCGCTCCAGGACAGGAGGACAGTGTATTAGACTGTGGATTGGAACACATGATGATCCTTCCCCAGAAGAATCTAAACACCACGTAACCTTGAACATGCATGTACCCTGGTGGGCCTCAGTTTCCCCATCTGTGAAGAGATGGAGCTAAAGGACCTCTACAGCACTTTCCTGCTCCTAAACTCTGTTTTCCAAGGAAAGGAGATAACATCTCTATTATCAGGGAGACGGCCACAGCCTTTCTGTAAGGGCACTTTAGCGCCTACAGCCTTAGGCCGGGAAATAAAGGACTGAAATAGGAGGCATGGAGCTGATAACTGAGTGTCACCCAGAAGTTAAGGCCAAACTCTTCGAAGCTATAACTTCAGTGTGTGGAGGATGCGATTTCATTTACAACAATTATTATTCAAGATACTTGCCAGAAACACACTACGCTACCAAGTGCGGTGCCGTGGAGGCATCCTCTGGGGGTGACAAAGCTCATCCCAGAGTCGGGACTGACCGGGCCCACGTCCAGAGTCCAGGGCACCTCTCGCTGCCCCCAGCTCCAGGGTGAGGGGTTCCTACCGGGCAACCTGGGAGACTCACCTTGTAAAGTGCGGCTCTGCTAACATCCCCAAAGCTGTGAGCACTGACGTGGCCAGCCAGAGGGTATGGACCAGAAGCGGGGTTCCCGTCTGTTCTGCCCAAAGTGAAAGAGGCAGATGTGGGGTGCACCCAGGACCAGTCCCGGCACAGCCCCGGCCTGAGCGGGCGCTCCAGCGGCAGAGCCGTTTCTGGGAAGCCACAGGACGAAGCACCTCTGATCCTCTGGTCCCAGCAGACAAGCGGTAGGAGAAAGGAGCTGGGAGGTGAACGCCAGTGTCTGCTGCCGCTCTGATCCCTTTCCCAATGCCACGTGGACACCTTTGACCTCTACCTTCTGTTTGCCCAGCAGGATGAAGGGGGATTTCCTTCAAATCA